CGCCGCAAGCCGCCGCCGCTCGCCTCAGCCCGCCGCGGGATCGCTCTCCCCGGCCCGCCTCCCGCAGGTGCTGCCTGGCGGCTGAGGGGAGGGCCCGGGCGGCCATGGCCATCCCCCTTCCCCCTCAGCGCCTGGCGTCGCTGGAGGGTGGCGATGAGAGGCTTCAGGGCTGCTCCGAGTGCTAAAAACCGGGAAGGGTTTGAGGAGAGGAGGCTGGATCCCCCGTAGCAGGGGGATGTGTGCACTTACACAGGTGTCTGCCCTCAGTGCCCGTACCAGCGCACCCTCATCTCTGCAGCTGCAGCACAGCAGGTGTGTTTGAAAGTAGTACGGTGTCTTCCCCTCACTGCGTAAAATAGCTATCTGCGTACATTTTTGCCCTTGGAAATACAGTGGATCCTTACTGCAATATAGCAAGTTGTACTGTTTCAACCGTACCAGGATAGTTAAATGCATCGAGGTGGTTAAATACCTTCCATCTATAAGCAGGGCCTATGTTTTCCCTCTCTGGGCAATGGCAGCTTTCCTCTTCCCGTGTTCTCTCAGCTCAACAGGTTGATGGGGAAGGGCACGACTAGGCGAGCTGGAACATTTAACCTACCTTTCCTTTCTTCTTTTAACCTTTTCTTTTTTCAACACCTCCTAATTGTAGGTTTTTGCGAGTTCAGTTCGGTCATTCCACTCATCTGCCAGTACACGCGCAGGTTTGTTAGGTGACAGGCTGATTTGTACCATGGTACAAACTGGAATTAATAAATGTGACCGATAGAGGTAAATGGAGTAACTGTCAGTGCTTTCTTCGCCCCATATGCAAAAATCTTGCTTTTCTTGAAGGTATAACTTCCAAAATTACGGTCTGTCTTTTGCTTTGCCCTTCTCAGTCCACCTTTAATTCAAATTCCTGCCTGCATACTGAACAGTATCTATATTATTTCTACTAGGATTCATTCTATGAAACCGACAGCTTAGAGACTTCATAATTTTATGTACATCGAAGCGTTTTACTTTTTTTTTTTTTTTTTTAGGGGTAAGGGAAGGAGGAAGGAGGAAGCTCTGGCAACCACTGCAATGTTCTTAACGCCCTAGGGGCCATCAGCTTATTTAAAAGTAATCTTATTTTCTACCTTTTTCCCTTAGCTTCCTTCTGCTGCCCTTTTTTTTTTTTTGGCTACCATTCACATCCTTCTTACCATGTCATGTAGACACCCTATCAGTCCCCTCCACGTTGCTTCCTTCCCGTTCCCACCTCCCACATCAGCTTCAGAAAGACGAGGCGATTCTGCTGCTCGCTGCCGAGTGCTGCCAGCCTCTCTCCCTTCTGCTCTTGCTTACGATTATTAAAGTAGAGCTGATACCAGCAACGGGGCAAAACACCGTTGCAGCTAAGCTGATCTCCTAGAGAATAAGGGGCTTTGCGCTGCTGATTCTCGCATGCACAGCAAAGTCTAGTTACTGCTGCGAGGAGGTTGGCCTGATCTATTCCTTCCTGTTATAAGTTTTAAAACACCTGGGCAACCCCAGCCAAAGCAAGGTTTTCGATAAGCATTTTCCTGGCCAAAAGGAGAATCAAAGCATCCTGTCAAGTTATGAAAGGTACTGCAGTCTTCCTTGAAGCGACTCAAGTTTTTAGCCAAATTCTGTGATCTGCCAAAACCTTACGTTAAACTGAGGAAGGCAAGGCAGCATATTGCTGACGTTTCTATGACATGTACCATGCATATCTTTACATGTATCAGAATTGGTAGGACAGACTAATAGGAAAACATAGAAAATAGAGAAATTACTATGCCAATTCCATATGGTAATTTTAATAAGGGAATTACTGGGATAATATGGTTGCACATGTCGAATATGAATTACATAATTTCCAGGAGCTTGAATAGAGGCAGTGTGACTTGGTCAGGTGCCTGAAAAAGCACTGACAGAACATTTTCTGACAAATTTTGTTGCTGTGCAAAATCCTTTTGCCCGCAGGGAGAGGTTACCAGTTCAGAAGTGATTGAAGTTAGTGCTCGATGATGAGCTGAGCTGAGGAAAGAACATTCCCTCTGTTGCCGCTTCTATAGGTGATAACTCCTGGCAGAGTAATTGAGCAAGACAGATACTTACTGGCTATGGAATCTTAAATATTTAAATTTACTAGAAGACAGGAGGAAGGACGACAGGAACACAATGTCCCTTCTAGTACTGTGCGTTATTGTCAGTCAAAGTGCAGTGGCTGCTCCCTACTCGAGTCTGAATTCTTACTATACTTCACAGACAGGAAAAAAAAACTGAGCAAGTTTTTGTTATGCATTATACAGAACCAAAAAAGGGCACATACAGAATTATTTTCCCTTTTCAGGTCACCTTTCAGATCATAAGGTCATTATAAACTGTCTCAGCACTTTTACAAACTGGAGTCTACTCAAACCATAATGCTTACAAAGTTTCATTTTGAATAGGCCTGATTTTCTCTGTCATTTGTTTTCACTTCTTATTTCTCTGCAGAACATAAAAAGTCAGAAAAAGATTTTATTTTCCCCTACATAGCATATAATTTACATCAATCATCCCAGGAGGTCAGTACCACTGGGGTGTCATTTAAATACAATGAATATAAAGTAATGAAGCTCTCGCTGGAGTGGATGGCCACAATTCTCAGAGAAAGAGAGAGAGAGAGAGTTTCCAAAGCATGTGGAGAAAACACAACGGGAGACCGAGTGAATTCATCACACCACAAAAATGTCTCCATCCTGTCGACAAAGTCATTAAAGGAAAATGAACCATTGTTACTCTAGACGCTTGCATTCCTTTGGCATAATAACCTCAGTATAGAAGCATTGGTGCAAAGAGAATTTGCACACACGAGAAAAAAAATATATTTAAAAAAAAAAAAGAAAGTATCCAGATTATGTAATGAAAGAAATCCTCCATGCTCCAAAGAAGAGACGGAGCCTCTGCAGAAGCCACAACTAATAAGGAACCGTATGCAGTGGTACAGGGCGGTTTCTTTTCCTCCTGCCAACAAGTCAAAGTAAATGCCAACATGGACAATTCTTTTCGGATAACCCACAAATGATGTTCTCCCTTAATTACACAAATGTTTCTACCCTTTGCTGATCCATAGCCATCCTGGTTTTTAAGATCCCTTGTTGAGATTGCCCCAGTACCATTTCCCTTTTCATACTCATTTACTTCCAATAATTTTTTCAGTCTCCATTAAACCAATCTGTGAGGAATGCGGGGATTAGAAAGGTTTGCTGTATTCAACACAAATTATGTTCTCCCTTAATTACACAAATGTTTCTACCCTTTGCTGATCCATAGCCATCCTGGTTTTTAAGATCCCTTGTTGAGATTGCCCCAGTACCATTTCCCTTTTCATACTCATTTACTTCCAATAATTTTTTCAGTCTCCATTAAACCAATCTGTGAGGAATGCGGGGATTAGAAAGGTTTGCTGTATTCAATTTTATTTAATTCTTTGGCAAAGAGTGTCCAAATAAGAGAAAGTGTCACGTGCCTACAGTAAATCATAGCATATACCAGTTTCAGAAAATAGATCGTACTTCTGTGGATCTCCTCCAAGGAAATACCCCTTTAAAGCAAACCACCATGCAACCCCTGCTAAAAAAGGTAGCATTAGAAAGCTGCAGCAGAAATCCCTCCCTTTATTATAAATTATTCCATGGTATGGCAAAGTCCTTTTTGCTATACTAATTAAAACAGAAACACGCCAATTAAATTATCACCTTTATTGTCAAAACCATATAGGAATATAATACATAGAAATACATAATTACATTAATTATTTTTTTAATACAAAAGCACTGCATAGATTTAAGCAAATACTGAAAGGGAAATCTGTCTTTTATATATTTTTAGCAACTGCACTGGAACAGGGAGCCTACTCAAAAATGAGCAGAGTGCTACTGAGGAAACACATGCCAGCGAACACCAAATCGTACCTGTTAATTACAACTAATATGCTCGCAGACAACAGCAAGCATGTTATTTATCCATCATTTACAGCCACTGAAGTGTAGGGAAGTGAATTGGTTTGCTGGCAAATGTCCCAATTAATTGGGCGTGCTATTTATTAGGGTGCTGATTAAAGTGTACTCTGCAATGTAATAGTCGAGTATAAAGTTGCCAACTCTTATTCACTCCTGGCTCATACGGATGAAAGCGGGAGAGTAGGCTAGCACAATATGAAAATAATGATGTATTCTGTGCCAAAATGGATTTAAGGATTCCAATGCCTGGAAATTAAAGACCTGGAGAAACAGAATTAGGCAGCATCGTGATCTTGAAGATAGAAGTTTGTGTTGTGTAACCCAGTTGTGACCAAGAGCTTCAATCCATAGTAGTCATTTTGCACACGTATTAACACTCCTTTTGGAAGCCAACACCATAGGCACACCCTTAAGTAAGCAGCATACAAATGAAATAGAAAATACGATAAAAGCAGAGTTTTGTTCCTGACTGATCCGAGTCAATTCACTTGAAGAAAAACTACTTAGAGGGGTCCTTTTCCCAGCCACCTACTCCTTCAGCCTCCCCAATCAACTGCCCTAACTGAGACTATAGCTTAAATAAGGCAAGCTGGTTGTACGGTATTCAAAACCATGGCTTCCACAAATGAGGTTGGGAGTTTCCACACACAATCAAGGAAACTTATGCTAATAATTGTATATATTATC